TATCATAAACTGAAAATTAGACTGATGTAGAAAAACAATATTTATCATAAACTGAAAATTAGACTGATGTAGAAAAACAATATTTATCATAAACTGAAAATTAGACTGATGTAGAAAAACAATATTTATCATAAACTGAAAATTAGACTGATGTAGAAAAACAATATTTATTGCAAACTGAAAATTACACTGGTGTAGAAAGATAATATTTATTACAAACTGAAAATTGGACTTGAGTATAGAAAGATAATATTTATTACAAACTGAAAATTGGACTTGAGTATAGAAAGATAAGATTTATTACAAACTGAAAATTAGACTGGTGTAGAAAGATAATATTTATTACAAACTGAAAATTGGACTTGAGTATAGAAAGATAATATTTATTACAAACTGAAAATTGGACTTGAGTATAGAAAGATAATATTTATTACAAACTGAAAATTGGACTTGAGTATAGAAAGATAATATTTATTACAAACTGAAAATTAGACTTATGTAGAAAAACAATATTTATTATAAACTGAAAATTAGACTTATGTAGAAAAACAATATTTATTACAAACTGAAAATTAGACTGATGCAGAAGATAATATTTATTACAAACTGAAAATTAGACTGATGTAGAAAAACAATATTTATTATAAACTGAAAATTAGACTTATGTAGAAAAACAATATTTATTATAAACTGAAAATTAGACTTATGTAGAAAAACAATATTTATTACAAACTGAAAATTAGACTTATGAAGAAAGATAATATTTATTACAAACTGAAAATTAGACTGATGAAGAAAGATAATATTTATTACAAACTGAAAATTAGACTGATGAAGAAAGATAATATTTATTACAAACTGAAAATTAGACTGATGAAGAAAGATAAGATTTATTACAAACTGAAAATTAGACAGGTGTAAAAAGATAATATTTATTACAAACTGAAATTTAGACTGGTGTAGAAAGACAATATTTATTACAAACTGAAAATTTACACTGTAGATAAAACAAGATCGGGATCCAATTTGGACAAATCAGTTTGGACTATGCATTAAAACTTATTGTAATATTGTATTAATATAAATCGCATGCTGTGTCATAATAATAAATAAATAAACCCCCAAAACCGACGCCGACTTCACAACCCAGTCGCATCAGGTGTTCTGGGAAGGGGAGCATGCCGTGCGTCGCTAGCCACAGTGCTAATTTTTGTGAAGGTCACATTTAACGAAGCCTTTAGACTTGGGATCTAAGAGCCCCGTTTACATTAGGTTGCTTAGTGTTCTGTCCTCGATTTAGTCAGGACAGAATAAAATCACAAGGGCTTAGAAAAAATATGTTCGCCGGGACAATCTCGTCCACATCCGTCCATGTGTGTTTGATAAATATACCAAATAAACAATATCAGCTACGTGAGCTCTCTGAAAGGTATGAAACAACCAAAGGTACAAGAAGTAATGACGTCAACTAAAAAACTAAGACATGTTGTGCTATAGACAATTCCGCAATATTACAACTACCCGTTTCACGTTTAAATATTCAAAGAATGAGAACACCAGAATATTTTCTCGACAGATCTATCAAATACCTAAACTATAAGAATGGTGATCTACATGAACTATCAAATGTTACACAGTCACGAGAATAACCCAACGGGACTAACAAAGTTTTGAATCGACCTGACTATCAAATTTTAAAACTCTGAGAATGATAACCAACCTGACTATCAAATTTTAAAACTATGAGAATGATAACTAACCTGACTATCAAATTTTAAAACTCTGAGAATTATAACCAACCTGACTATCAAATTTTAAAACTATGAGAATGATAACCAACCTGACTATCAAATTTTAAAACTATGAGAATTATAACCAACCTGACTATCAAATTTTAAAACTATGAGAATGATAACCAACCTGACTATCAAATTTTAAAACTATGAGAATTATAACCAACCTGACTATCAAATTATAAAACTATGAGGATGATAACCAACCTGACTAACAAATTTTAAAACTATGAGGATGATAACCAACCTGACTACCAAATTTTAAAACTATGAGAATTATAACCAATCTGACTATCGAATTTTAAAACTATGAGGATGATAACCAACCTTACTATCAAATTTTAAAACTATGAGAAAAATTAGTAGAATAACTAAACAGAATTCTCGAACTCTGGAAATAATAACTAAACAGAACTATCAAATGATATAAAGTTGCAAGAATAGCTCAACAGGACTATCAAAGATTCAACAATGAGAATAATTACTCACCAGCAGTATGTATACGGTGACTGAAATCGATCCTAGAAACATATTGGATATAGAATAGGAAAGCTGTTTTCCTTGAATTTATAATATAGTCCCTAGTCGTTCTGTTCACAGAGAACACATTAAATTGAATTATGTTGTTTTATATCAGAGCCACTCCATTTTCCACGTGGGTTAAAAGATGACATGGTTGTTGAAGAGATTTGTTTAATCACTCAGCGTAGGTTTGTATTATTAGGAATTTCTATGGTAATGAAAATGCAAATTTTATTGGCAGTTGATTGGCAGGTGGATTGAACAACTCCCTCGTTATCATATAATATCTGTCATCATGGGCCGTGTGCTGTAAATAGGAATGTCAGTAAGTAATAGTTATTGTCTTGATACTGATAACGTGATGTCCATGATATTAGTAACTGAAATAAATTGAATTTTACGTCTGACCTGAAATGAGACAGGTGAAGCTAAGCAGTGTGCAGAGGGAGAAATTTTTCCAGGAGAGCAGCTAATTTCCGACTGTCGAAGGATCGTTAACGTGCACAGCTTGTAACATATGGATACTCGTTTTATTGTCCCATCCGAACAACTACATCCATTTTTAACCCCTCCGACCTGCAGCACTGACACGGAAACCGAGTTGATAAAATCAGGTATTATTTTGATGTTGCCGGGACATGATTTTAATGTCTTCCAAATTTTAACAGGTCAATTTCTTAGTATTGAAGCTTATACTTTCAACAATTATCTATGTTGGACATAATGATTAAAGTACATGTATGTTTTTATCGATCTGATTGAAATATAGACGTAAAGATGCGTTTTTTTTATTCTTTAGTCATTGCACCGGGTAAATCTACTGATGAACAAAGACTCATTTTGGCAAATTTCATTGCTGTTCATCCTAAGAGGTAGTATACCTTTAAATCAATAATCCATTATAAGCACCGTCTGTTAACTAATCGAAAAAGGGTATGTTTTACGAATATACATCGCTAGTAGTGTACAGTGTTTCGGACTGGGCGCAAGGAAATACATCAAGACGAATGTGCCAACAGTTTGAAATGGATAACTTCGCTTCTTGCACTCTGTCTGTTAATTTGACCAATTTAAAATCTTCATTATCCTAATCAGCTGCTAAAAAGCCGCTCGTAAAACGAATGAATATCATCTGTAAAAACACAACTGCGAACATATTTTCTAACAAAGGAAAGGTTAAAATTGAGTTAAATGTGGGTGTATCTGTTGAAAATCATAGTTGACTTTTTAATTATGATTTTAACTGTATAGTATAGAGTGTATTGAGACGAGTCTCAATAAAAGCACTGGTCTTGGTCACAGAGCAATAGATAAGCGTATTAATTATGTGAAAATCACACGTATGACTTTAGTTTAAAAAGGCTCAAAACACAGACACCCACCCACTCTGAAAGAGGCTGGCTCGGCTTTGCCACTGATACAGTCACAGCTAGGGCCAGACTGAAAAGATCACATTTTTGTAGGAGTTGCTACGATCCAATTTCGGATCGTTAGTTTCTTTTTTGCCAAATTTGGCACGTTTGGTGTCTATACATAGCTGAATAATAAATCCATCGAACCATTTTCGGATATTCTGTATTCACCCAGTACCACAATGCAGTCGACGGGTCGGCTTAACTCTTGGGAATACGAGAATAAATGACCTATCTGTCTGGTGAGGTATGCGACATGTGATGTTTTATTTTTATTACAATGAATAAAAGTAATTAAAATGAAACCGTTGTAATTTGATTTATTTCTTTGAAAATCTTGATCACTTTTGTTCATTTCTTTGTTTAAATGTTTAATTATATAATCAAAATTAATTGTACAGTTATCATTTGAATTCATATAAAAGTGCTGAATTTACAAACTTCCACTATACAGGAGTTGTGCCATTATGTCACGGTATTAGACAGAGGGGGAACTTACTTTGGTAATCGTAAATGGGGGAAAACAGAAGTGGTGGAATTTGAAAAGAGAAATAACCACCATCCCATTTTTTAATGCATTAGAAAAATCTTGTTGAAAGAGATCTGACTCTTGTCATGATTACCCTAGCTTCCCCGTCTGTTCAGTGCCGGAATTCACGGAATCAAAACAATCACACAATTCGAGTTCCGTATAACATTTTTTTCGACCATCTCACATCCTTATTTTTTGTATTATCTTCTCAAAATTGCAGATGCAGGTCAGAGAGGCTGATATGAAAAAATCGTCTGGTGTGTGCTACAGACTGTGCACGTTAAAATGAAATGAAATGAATGCATAAGAGTAAGACGTAAAACTCCATTAATTTCATTTAATTTTCAAAATTGCTATGGTGTCATACTGGTAAAATTCAATTGTCCATTTACGATCTCTTACAATTCATTGATCTTTTTTTTTTTAAAAAGTTACTGAAGATTATTTAAATTGGAATAATAAACGGAAAGCTTTGACATGCTTCTTACATGCGGATATAAAATCAATTATTCAGTTTCTTATATGTAACTCAAATTAGTGTGTTTTTACTTTATTTCCTATATAATACTACGTCACAATTCCACTTAAATGCAAAAAGAACATAATTCGAGAAAAGAATTCACATCAAAAGTCATTTCAGTGATAGACGGAACTCATTTTCATTTCAGTGCGAAGATGAAAAGGTATACGGGTAGCTATACCTGATAGATGCACTTCCCATGATAAAAAAATTGAATAACATCACATATCTTTTAATTTTTCAAATAATACTCGAATATCAGGTATAATGTGTTCCGGGTTAACTTCAGGTATATCTTTATTGTTAGATATTAAGAAGGACTGCCATCCGACCTCCCTGGATCCCAGATAGTCGTTCTGTACATGATCACCAACGTGGACAGCTTGATCGGCTGTAATTCCCGCCAATTCCAAAGCCTTGGTAAAGATACCGGGATCTGGTTTAGCTACCCCAACATCGGAAGACGCCAACACGAAATCGAAGTAGTGCTGAAGAGCCAAATGTCTCAGAATCTTATGTAATCGTTCATCTGCGTTCGAGATGGCTCCTATTTTAACGTCCAATTTCTTCATTTGATCTAGTCCATCTTTCACGTGAGGTAAAACTTGCCAGGCTTTATCAGTGCTGAAGTATAAGTATAAATGGTTTGAAATTTGAGTTAGTTTAGTATCTTCGTTGATAACGCCCGCCTGTTTAAAACAGTCTTTAACCAATGATCCCCACCACTTGAAGGGTGTTGAATTGTCCTGAACTCCAAAGTTAGGTGAAGCTTTCCAATGTTCTGAATAAAGCGTCTTGAATGCATCATTTAATACTGTTTCATCTGCTTTAACACCGTACATAGCACCAATTTCTGAATAATGGTTCCCAACAGTTCTGGAAATTTTACATAAAGTTTTTGTGACATCAAAGGTTATGAGTTTGATCTTTCCGTGAGCCATCTAGAATAAAACAGAGCATTTTTGATAATTTTTTATAGACAAAATCCTCTTAAAATACAGACATTATTTAAGGGCATTCCACTTCTATTGTAGGTCGAATTTTTTTGCTCAAATTTAGGAAAACTGTACAACAAAATCTAGAGAAAAATGTCCCTAAAGTATCAGTAAGATTTAACTAAAAAAAAATACAGCCGGTAATATTTTAACGCCAGACCTGCTGTTTGTTACGCTTTTTGGAAGCTGTTAGAGAACTACTGTATGGATTTAAGTAGGATAAACGCCTAATAGTAGAGAAATATGTCTCCCATGTATTCTAAAGGTGTGGTTATTGCAGTCAAGGTATAAGACGAAGTTCGTAATAGTTTGACATTGTGAGCGTTACCGACTGATATATCTATCGAATATTTGCTGGAAAAAACGATTTGGTGTATGTGATTTATCAGTCGTTGATGCGTCCGCCAAAACAGCGATTGGTCAGATTAGTTAAATCGTATTTTCCAAGTTTTTACATGAAATATGAGAGACATAATTCATTACATAAAAAGTCGTACAAAACTACGATTTATGGATTGTCTTCTCTTTCCGCCAGATATTACGTAGGTAACAGCAATTTGGTCAAATCGGATTAAAGATTATTGAAAAGATTAATTCATTATTATAGCCTTGAGAACGCTAGAGAAAATTGGATCTTGCGAATAAAGGCCTATCCCTCATTGATATAGACCATAACAAAATATTTTGATCAACAAGCAACACTGGTTGATCTGTTGATAATGCTTCAAGAAGTATTACCATAGCTCTCTTTGGTCGAGACGTCAGATCTTTTGATCCCTCCAGCACTTGTTTCGTGTCAGATCTTTCCTGTCTTTACATTTCAACCTTTTATCCAGGAAACCTTTGATTAAATTTTCCATTTACATCAATAATGGGGATAAAGTCCGTCCAAGAAGGACAGGGGCGGGGGGTTCATAGAACAGTAGAAAACTGAGTACAGACTGCAGTAACGAATAATATAGTGAACGGTTCAGAATAATTATTCTAGCAATTGTAGCTAATGTTCAGCAAGTGACTGAAAAGACTGGATTACAGCTTGTTAAGGATAAGAGAAAACGTGGATAATCTGGTGTAATGGTATGCAGCTAATCTGCAACAGCCCCGCCCATAAATTGATGTGTTTTGTTTTATTATCAAAAAGGAAAACTTGTACTGACATGTGATTTTGTTTACATCCGGTTGAGTTACATGTCAAGTAGCAGAAAGTTAGGAGTATTTTGATTGGCCAAAATACTGAAGGAAGTAATTTAGAAAGGTTTAAACAGAAGACAATTAATTTTGTGTTTGAATATTTGTTATGACTTTAAGAGTTGAGATTTAAAAAAAACTATTCATTTTTTAAAAGCGATTATTCCTTAATTTTTAGAGCACTTGTCGCTAGTGAGGACCGCACCAACTGGAGATAAACAACATGGCGTCCGACAGCTACTAAATTTTTAAAGCGCAAGGTTTGTATGTATGACAGCCTGCAATTAAGGATCAGCAAAGGATACACAAGAGATTTTAGGTTCAGGTAATGATTTGTCGCTTTGCACAAATATATTCAGAGCCATGTGTTGTACGAAACGGTAAAATACTGGTAGGCCCTACCGCGATTACACTAGTACCGTTACAATGGACCGTTACTGTTAGTAGTGAGGGATGTCATCTGCGATCTGTGCTTAGCATTAGACGTTAGGGGTTAGGTAGGCACTTGACGTATGGTGAAATGATGTGGTTCTGATAAAAGGTTTTATTACGTTTTGAGTTTGAATATGCATAACTTGCTTGAGAGTGCAACTTTCTTTTAAATTCAATTCACTGCACATTTTATAGAGTTCAGACAACACATACATTTTGCTTTATGCAGCCAGGAACTGTTCCAAACCCTTAAACTTAGACCCTAAAGCCAACTGTTGCTAGTTTTGTAGCACTTTTGAGAGAGGGGTGTTTATATATCATAACTTTTAAATTAATAGAATAGAAGGTAAAACCTCTATGTTTTTTTTTTAGGTATGAAGTGTAAAAATTAACAAACTAATCAAAATGAAAAAAAGTGGAGAAAAGGGAGGTACAAACCTCCCCATCTTAAAACCCTCTAAAGGCAGTCCATCTAATACAGCTACTAATCCACGAGGTAGAGTGAATCAGATGAGAACATCAGACGAGATAGCTAAACGTGTTGGTTTAAACCTCAGTCCATCCTCGTCGGCAACAGTAGCTAAAAAATCAAAATCACCAGGAAATAGACAGTCATTATCACCTTCCCGTGTACCAGGTATGTTACTTGATATCCAATGTAAAGAAATTTAAGAGACCCTCCTCCACAGTGGCTCAAAGAATTAGATCTTCTGATTTTTCAGCCTGGTTCCCCTTGCCCTTATTGCAAATCAGAGGGACTGACATGGAAAAGATGGAACAATAAACCAATTCCCAGTGTGTTACACATTACACACGTTTATGAACACAAATGGAAATTGAAAAGAGTATCAGTAGGCTATTGTTGCTGTCCTTGCAAAATTTCCTTCATTGCACACTGGGTGGCATTGCCTATCTTCATTCAGATGTAGAATAATAGGCTGTAAAATTCTATTTTTTTCTTTTCATTTTGTAATTCTCATCTGCTCTGTGGACCACTTGTAACAAGTCTCTCGAACAATCTCGCGAACTATGTAATTTCAAACTTTTGTCAAAAATCAAATAAATTGAATATTCATTACAGTTTTTAAAGGGGGAGTGAGGTATATTACTGAAGATCTGATTAAAAAGCAAGCGAAAGAAGAAAACTTTGATCTTATCACCAATTTAAATCTCAATATCTCTAAAGATGGAAAGAAGATTAAGGTGAGTTTAGCTGCGATTTTCTTGTGACTAGGGCTGGGTTTTGATCACCAAATTGAGATCGATTATCAATGGCATGCCATCGATTAACAATCAATTGATATTCGAAATAATTTAAGTGGGAAATATTCTAAATACTAAATAAAAACCATACAAATTTTTAATTTCATGGGTTATTTTTGTGTCATAGAAGTATATTAATGCTTTGATCAGTTATTAAGTTTAATATGATGTGCTGAAGGAAAACTATGTGCAAGAAATTATGTCTTGTTAACAGGTATGCATGAGAAAATAGAACATTGACATTTGAATCGATTATGTATTGCGATGATCAATAATCCAAATTTACTCGATACTCAATTATTTTACCCAGCGCTACTTGTTGTATAACTTCATTATGATGCAGACATATATATGATAAAATTTGGCTTATGCATGCAAGACCGGCTTAGTTATTGGTTTGATTTTGTACTGTCAAAGCTTGTAAACAAATCTGAATTTGGTTGAGATCTCAGTTGAGTTGAATTTTCACAAAATTTAGGTCAAGGTATTAGCTATTTTTTTAGACTGGCCATAAAAATATGCAAATAAATGCCAGTGCAAAGAGGTAGATGCTTTTTATACAATTAGTAAATTTCTTGATGCCTTGAACTCTTTAACATTGTATTTATTTCATAGACTTTAAAGATGGGTTCCCTTATTTTCATTTGTGAAAATGAAAATGCTAATACTTATATGAATAGAAAGTAGAGGTCTTCTAATGACTGGAAAAATACCAGTTTGTCTCACATGTCCATTCAAATTAGAAGAGAATTACCAACAGAATTCCAATGAGTGACAAAAAAGGGAAAATGTCTTTTTTTGTTCATCCAGACTGTACATGCATGTACATTTATGATTAGTTTTTTTTCACACTCAGTGTTCAAAGCTCAGGTAGACTATGTATGATAACTTCAAAACATTTTTATTTCAGTACATAGAAAACTTGGAAAAACTGGGCAAACTTCAAGTTCTGATCCTCAGTAATAATATGATAGAAAAAATTGAGAAAATGGACAAGTTACAAAAGTTACGTGAACTGAATTTAGCTTATAATATGATCAGTAGATTAGAGGGCCTTGAAAACTTGATACTACTACAAACTCTGAATGTAACTGGTAACCAAATCGAACATATACCTGTATGGTTGTCAAGGAAATTAAAAGCTTTGAGAACATTTAGAATCTCCAGGAATAAGTTGGAATCGGTAAGTTCTTTAAAAAATCTTTTTTGATATTGTTATCGCTGATATAAGAATTATATAGCTATACTACTACAAGAAAATAAGAAATAAGTATGATGTCAGCGATCTTCCGATTGTTGCCTTCAATTGATTAGAAGTCGTTGAAAGTCAAATGATACTAATAATCGATTCTCAATTAAAAGTTGCAGGCGTTTGCGAATGATTAGAAATGCCAGTTATGATGTTTTTTGGGATTTTTTGATTAAAAAAATATAAATTATGCATTTTGATGACTTACATTGTAAATACCTGCATCGAAACCATCATAATTAACAAACCAACTATGAAATTGATTTACAAATTCTTTAAAGTCTACATTTTACATGTTTGTTATGCCACATTAAATATGGCCAGTTTCATAGTGTTGCAACGGTTAGTGAATTTTACAAACAGAGTAATCGTTGGCAATAACCGTTTGTTACCTGGTTAACACCGATTAATAACTAAAGATTATAAAAGGAGTCAAAAACCACATTTTCGGCTGTAACTCACCGTTAACTAAACTAGAGTAAATGTTAATGAGTACCCAGGAAGATTTTGGCTAGTTCCCCACGAATTGTCAGTACAAATCGAAAGATACCAAGCGTCTGCTTCAATGTAATGCGTGGGCCTTACAGAGTTCAGACAGACTGTCGCCATTGTCACTCATTGCTACAGTCTCAAACAGATCAAAGGTTTTTAAACCAGTAGTGGGGTCAGTGTAATGAGTGTATCTCATTGAAGTCGTGGCGAATCAGTGTACTGGTTCCACAACTGGTATAAAACTATTGTCTCAATGAATCCGTACTCATGAATATTAATAAGCTTGAAGCTGATTGACAGACAATAAGAAATAAACAGCCAATTAGAGGAGAGTTAATAAAAAGTAATACGATCTTTATAACTGTTTACTGAAATACTACACGAAATTGGTTAACTGATTAACCGTTTAAACACTAATGTTTCAGTTATTAATCAATTACATAATCTCCGTTTATTTTTTATCAATTGATTATTATTTTCTTATTTGGGGTCATCAGTGACAATATCACAGGGCTTGAAATGTCAAAATGCAGAATATATCCTAATTAATATATTAATTTTCAGTTATCTGAAGTGAGTAAGTTGAAATCATTAAGTGATTTGAGTACATTAGATATCAGTGAGAACCCCCTAGCAGAGATATCTCATCATAGACTGTATATTATATTTCATCTGAAACCATTAGAAACACTAGATGGTCAGCAAGTTTTACAGACTGAACGATCTACTGCTCAGGAAAGATTTGCTCAAGGTAATACATTGTATTGTCTATCTTAATAGAAATATAATGATTTCTCTAATCGGAGTCACTGGACTAAAAATAGCTATAAACTATAAATGTGACAGATGATAAAAATTCTGAAATTTGAGTACTCCGACACTCTCCATAATCTGACATATTTGTACAGTCATTTGTACAGTCATTTGTACGATGCATGATATATGAAAATATAGATGTATTGAACCTAGGTTCTCAAGGATTCTTTCAACCAGCTGTTCTTTGCCTAAATCTCTTGGTATTGATCTTTCCTGCTTTATCCATACTCATTTACAACTGAGCTGACTGAAATTTAATGAGAAAGGATGACTAATTCAAGGCCAGAAAACTTTTACACATCGACTATGATTAGAACCAATGATCACCACTTGTTCAGAGGGGTATTAACTATGGCATTCTCAGTACTTAGTGCTTCCAGTGCTCAGAAAAATAAAATATAAAACTCTTATTTCATATCATTTTGACATGTTACAGATGAAGTAGAGAAATTAGAACAACAACTGGAAGAACAAGAAACCAGAAATCGTCACCTGGAAGAAAGTCATAATAAATCAGTACATGAACTGTCAGCTAAAGATACATCAGCTGCTGAATTGAAGCTAAAAGATCAGCAATCACGAGAAAAAATCAAAAACTTAGAACAAGAGCTTAAGATCAGAGAAGATTTGGTAAGTTTATCCCTGTTTGAAGTATTGAATCCCCCCCCCCCCCCCCCCCTTAAGAGAAAAGGTCACATAGAGAGAAGGCTAATGCCACTTTCCTGGCAAATTTCCCTTCATTGCATTCTGCAAAATAATGTATAAGAATATGAATAATATTTTTAGTTAAAGAGGAAGACATCAGATTTAAATAAAGCCAGTGAAAAACATTACCAATTAGAACAAGAACTAGCTTTCTTTAAAATAGATTCGAAATTTGATTCATTGGGTGAAAGACCTCCAGCAAGTTTGGATCAGGTAAGCTCATATCTTTGATGCTCAAAATTTACAAAAAAATCTAATGATGTATGTCATGCAAGCAAAGATATTTGTGCACATCTGGGCAATATTCAAAATGAAACGCAAGTAGTCCATTTTGATTGAGAGGTAGATGATGTTTGGATAAATATACAGGGATATCTTTGCATTACGTGGACTCGTTGAATGGATGCCCAGTGTTTATTGTAGTGGACCAGTAAGGAATGCATGTCAAAACTTAAAGGGATTGTTAAGAGGTTTTCTAAATGACGTGCTAAAGGGTGATAAAGCATATTTGTGATTAGTGAAGTCTTCAAACACTTAGTTTTAGTGGAATTGCAGGAATCACAGACGTCTGATTGAAAATCGGAATGGTGCAAATGGGTGCTATTAGTGTCCCTGATACACATAAAAAATTTAGAAAACATCTTTACAATCCCTTTTAAGACAAATTATATTTGGACGAAAAAGTTCATTTCACAATTTCAATTATTATTGTAATGTTTTGATGATGTCAAAATAACAAAACACCTGAATTTTTGAATGTAGAGTGGAGATGATAGTGGATTGATTGGTGAAAGTCCATATATTGGTAAAGCCAGGTACAGATCTAACCAGTATGCTCAGGAATCTTCTATCATGTCCTCACCACAGAAAATAGTCATGTCCTCATTTGATACATCCTCAGCTATGTCAAGTCCTTCCAAAGGTTTCACACCAGTAGCTGGTAAATTACATCAGAATGTAGACAATAAATTGGCAGAGAAGCAGCGAGAATTAGAGCTAGGTAAGTACGTCTAAGCTAAAGAATGGATAATGAATAGGCGTCTTAGGATACTATGTATTATCAACAGCCGGGGAAAGAGGATTTTCCATCACTGTATGTTAAAAAGGAAACTAGGCTATAACTTATTCCTTGCCCTTATCCTCCCTGTACTAAACGTTCTCATCAGATATTGGCTATTACAATTTTTTAATAGAAATATTGTCATTAGAGTCCTGTCATTTTATCCTAAAATCTTGAAATTTGAATCAAAAATTGTTAATAAATCTGTCAAAAAAACCCAAATTAGTAATTTAGTATGTTTATTAATTCATGACTTACAGCTGATAAGAAATTAAAAGCTTTAATGGATGATCTAGAATGGACAGAGAAGAAGTTACTCAGAGCTACAGCAGACATGAAGAAGATGGCCCAGAGAGAAACACCAGATCATTTTAAAGGAGATGGAAAATTTAAAATGAGGCAGAGATTAGCTAGAAAGATGTCCAATGTAAGGAATGAATTCAGAAAATTCAAGTTTAAAGGTTACAAAATACTGTTGTAGATAACAATCTTATATTATATGCAGATGATAGAAGAATAACTGTTGAATGGATACTCCTTCTAAAATTATGTCAATGTTTATTTATCTGTAGGTAACCCAGCTAAGAGATATGGCTACACAAGTGGAATCTGAGATTGATAGAAAACAACAGAAAATAGAAGAAGATAAAAGACAATTAGGTAGAATTCAAGAACAACTGAGTAATTTGAAGAAAAACACGCCAGAATATGTAAGTATTATCATGCTTTTATTTGCATTTCACTTTTTTTTAGTTAACATTGGCTAAATTTCTCATATGTCTTAGAATAGATTAAGAGAAACTTTATATGTTGTATTGTAGAATAAGAGAAACTATATGTAGAATAAGAGAAACTATATATGTTGTATTGTAGAATAAGAGAAACTATATATGTTGTATTGTAGAATAAGAGAAACTATATATGTTGTATTGTAGATTAAGAGAAACTTTATGTGTTGTATTGTAGAATAAGAGAAACTTTATGTGTTGTATTGTAGAATAAGAGAAACTGTATATGTTGTATTGTAGAATAAGAGAAACTATATATGTTGTATTGTAGAATAAGATAAACTATATATGTTGTATTGTAGAATAAGAGAAACTGTATATGTTGTATTGTAGAATAAGAGAAACTTTATATGTTGTATTGTAGAATAAGAGAAACTTTATATGTTGTATTGTAGAATAAGAGAAACTTTATGTGTTGTATTGTAGAATAAGAGAAACTGTATATGTTGTATTGTAGAATAAGAGAAACTATATATGTTGTATTGTAGAATAAGATAAACTATATATGTTGTATTGTAGAATAAGAGAAACTATATATGTTGTATTGTAGAATAAGAGAAACCATATATGTTGTATTGTAGAATAAGAGAACTATATATGTTGTATTGTAGAATAAGAGAAACTATATGTGTTGTGTTGTATTGTAGAATAAGAGAAACTATATATGTTGTATTGTAGAATAAGATAAACTATATATGTTGTATTGTAGAGTAAGATAAACTATATATGTTGTATTGTAGAATAAGAGAAACTATATGTGTTGTGTTGTATTGTAGAATAAGAGAAACTATATGTGTTTTATTGTATTTTGTAGAATAAGAAACATTCATTAATGGTAGATAAAGAACAACAGATCAATGAATCTAATGAAGTTTATAATGATTTAAAATCTCAACTTGATGAAATGATGGAAAATATTAACAGAGAAACACAAGATATTAAAAAATTAGAACAACAACTTCGAGATGGTGAGAAAACCAGATTAATGTCTTCCTGTTTATTTTCCAAAAGCTTGAACAAATATACTGAACAAAGGCCATTGTTGATTAAACCACATCCCCTTATCAATAAAAAGCTTCCTATGAGATTTGACCAACTGAAAAAAACAAATTGGGATGCCTGTAATCCCCAATGGTCCCTACTAAAATTCATTCATTCATTCCATCATTCATCATTCATTCATACATTCCCTTTCTTCATTCATACTTCAGATCAGATAGAGAAGAATGAAGAGATGAGACAAGAGTTAGATGATGTAGTCAGTGGTCTACAGGTCTATATACAGAATGTTAAAGATCAGGCTGAGTTACAGAAGACAGACTGTGAGAATCTGTCTCGAGAACGTGATGCCTTACAGGATAAAGTCAAACGTCTTGAACAAGATTTGAGTATTCTTGATGCTGAAGCCACAGAAATACCTGAAATGCAGAGGGTAGTCTTCTTTTTTTATATATTGGACTTGAGGGTAAAGGGAGGAATTTGTCGTGGGTGTGGGTAGAAAATTATTTGTGGGATGTTTTAGCTGAGGAATATTTTTGCCATGTGAAATGGGTTAAACCGGGGTCATTCTCTATATGTGGTTCAAAAAATACTCCTTTAAAATTTAATTCTGGTCTGACAGGAAACATCTATCAACAATCTGAAAAATACATGTGTAATGTATATGTGAAATAGGCCAATTGTGGTATATCTCGAAATCAATTCTGCATGGAATAGGTTCTGGATATTTGCAGTAGCTCCACATTTTCATTCCATATTTGAAATACTTTTTCAGAAACTTCAAGATTTGGAAAATTCTTTTCGAGCAGCACAAGATCAGAACAGATCATTATCAGAACAACTTCATAGCAGACGTCAACTACCAGCTAATCATTCTGGTGGTGAAAGATTAGAGGCTGCTGAAACCGAGGCTAGAAATTTACGAAAGTCATTGGTAGAAACAGAACGTAAAGCTGAAGTATGTCCTCCTATTTCATAACTCCATTTTGATTGGAATGTTCTCTTATTTCATAACTTCATTTTAATGTCCTCGATTTCGATAACTCCATTCTATTTTATAACTTTGTCCTCTGAATCATTATTCCAGAGTGAAAAGAAGTTTCTAGAGAAACAGTTACAGCTAGAGAAAGAGAGAAATGAAAGAGCCAGTAAGAAATTAAAGATGTCTGGCAGTCCTGATAGAGATTATAGAAAGGTTGCAACACAACTCGAAGCTTTGAAGGTGAGACAAGTATTGTTGTCCTGGCAAAGTTTACCGAATTGCATACTGCATGTCATAAGCTGCATTAGCCAATGGATGAGAAAAGTAGGACATATAACTCCATTCATTTGAAATCTTTGGCACCTAAAGATTCTTTCATTTACTACTTGTCAAACAAAGCCTGTAGTTCCTCCGATTTGAATCATCAGTGGGATCAATCAAGAATGTATGAGTGGCAGAACAATGCTAAGTATTAACCGGATCTGAGATTCATACCTTTTTGACCTATAAATAGTGTCAGATGGCGCACAAACCAGATCATGCTTACTCTTTTCGAAACACCTGATGGTTCTTTTCTTTGGAGGAGTCCACTACTATACAACTGTTACTCTCGATTTTGCCATTCTTTGGACAAAACTTTTATTATACATACATGTATTTACAGGAAAGTAAGAAGAGGTGGGCATTATACATGCATGCGCGTAATATTCACAATTATACAGTAATACAAAATTATCTTGTATTACAAGATTTCACCATGTTCCACACAATGTCATATTATATGTTCTCATTTTACAGGCCCAGAATACATCATTACTAGATGAATTAGATGGACATCGTCACAGGTCAGACACAGATCCAAATACAACTTTTAGACCATCAGATCTGAAGAGAAGACTTAAAGATCTTTCTAGAAATCTGAAATCTGGCAAAGTAAGTAATATTTGGTTGTTGAAATATCATTGACTAGATGTTTGGTTGGTACTAAATACCAAACCAAATCCAGTGTTCTTAATGCTGTTCATTTTAAAGATCCATCAACAGTTGAAATCAAAAGAGAGTTGGTCAATGCTGCTGTCCTGGCAAAATTTACCTCATTGCGTACTGTATGGTATTGCCTGTCTTCATAAGTCAAAGTATGACATTATATTACAGACACCAATTACACCAGAAGGAGAAGAAGACTATCTAGGTCAGACTATGAAAGACCTACAGAATCATATGCAAGATCAATTAAATAAAAGTATAAAAGAAGTAGAAAAATACCGAAAAGAAAAGGATAAGGTAGTTTGATTTTGATTTTCTGAAAGGGACTGGTTTGCCATCTGTTTGACCAATTGTACCCTAGACTCAGAAAGGAGATTTTTTAGCTTTGCTAATCATTAATAGTCTTAACAGGTCACCATTGAACTTTTGTACAATACTAAACAAATACAACTGTTAAAATGACAGATGGTTTGTTGGTTGGTAGATGACAAGTTAACGTTCGCTTGCAGTGGATACTGATATCACCAATAGTCATAGTAGTTGGTAGGTGGATTGGTTCAAATGGGATGATTCTATGCTACTGGTTTGGTAGTTGACAATAATGACAGATGTTTTTGCCACTCCCTATATAGTACTAAAGTCATTGTTTTGTAATTACAAGTTAACCAATTTTAATTACTTAGTTAATTAATAACTAATGACTATTAAAATAGTATAATTAATAGTTATTTGCCTGATTCCTATATCTTACACCAAAAAACAGTAAGCATTAGATTAGAGAAGGATATAACAGAAAATCAGGAAAAAGCTATGAAATAGCTAGGAATTATTGATATGAGATGACTCACTATATAGTAAGATTAATACAAGATTTGACTATAATTTTATGGAATTTTATAGATTTAGATACTAAAGGGATTGTTAAGAAGTTTGCAGTCTCTTTTTATGTGTATCAGGGCCATTTATATCATTACATTTTTCACTCAGATGTCTGGGTTCCTGTCCAATGAATATACTTCATGTTGATTGTTGCAGGCTGACATTGAGATGAAAAATCTAAAAGATCAACTGAAGAAAAATGAAACAACGTCCTTAAAAAGAGATGTTCCCAAATCATCTAGGGTAATTATATTACAAGTCTGTTCTAGGTTTTTAATGTGCCAACCTATCTCTGAGGACCAGCCATACTAATTTATAA